CTCAGTCCACTGCCTTTCTATTTGATCCAAATATGACGTTTCACATCGAAATACACAGAGCAGTAAGCCATTGTACTTATATTTTACCTCCACATAATACCCTCATTGCTTGTTCTCTCTATTAAGAATTTGCTGCACAGGAAAGTGAAGAGAGAGAACTCCTTGCAGTCTCTATCAATGGCTGGATCACTTCTAGGTAAGGATTAGTTACATGTATTATTATTATTATTATTATTATTATTATTATTATTATTATTATTATTTTATCTTTCTAAAAGAATTGATAGTTGAGTTTATAGTTAGTCACCTCTCCCAGAATTTTCACAGTGACCTTTACTGGTGAGTTCACTATACACTCTACAATAGTCCAATAAATTGCCATTGTCTTTGGCCAAAATTTTGAGTAGCTTTAAAAATTTGTAAAAAATCCAAACTTGATCGGAATCAGCTCAAATTTAAAACATAGCATAAGAACATGTATATGTATCAAAAGAGTTATAAAAATGAATAATTCTCTCGTTTTCATTTTTGGCAAAATCTGACCAAAATCCCTGTACTATAGTACAGGGACTTTGGCCCAATTTTAGAGTAACTTTAAAAATTCATTAAAAAACCAAACTTAATCGGAATGAGCTCAAATTTGAAATATACCATAAAAACATGTATATGTATCAGAAAAAAATTATAGAAATGGAGAATTCTCTCTTTTCATTTTTGACAAAATTTGGCCAAAGTCCCTGTAGGCCTGTACTATATAGTACAGGGATTTTGGCCCGATTTTTGAGCATTTTAAAAAATTTGATTATTCTCCTAACCATTTTGAATAAAAACCCCATGCATTGCCCATGTTTACTGTACATGATTAAAAATCACTTCCTAATGTAATTTAATTTTTAGTAAATGCCTGGGGATTGTACACAGGCTCCTTTGTTATCAAAAAAGGCACAAAGTCCGTCTGAGTTACAGCTGGAAGGAGTTGTGGAATGGTAAGGACAGCTGTCATGATTACTACCATATGTCATAGACATACTAGTATTCCTGCATGGCATATCATATTCTCTCTATTTCTCTATTCCCCTTGGAATGCTTTAGTTTTGATTGTAGCAGGAGAACAGTTTATTATATAATAAGCTTATAAAAATGTATAATTTAACATGATACAGGCATCCATGTACACATAGCCCACATATTTACATGTATCGTTACATGTATAGGGTCATAGATACGCTAGTGTCTGGTTACAGTCCGTCATTGATCTAATAATGATATCACCTCTCTCTCCCTCTCTCTCTTTCTCCCTCTTTCTTTCTCTCTCTCTCTCCCTCTCTCTC